AGTGGTAGAGCGCTTGCCTTGCATGCATGAGGCCCTGGGTTCAATTCCTCAGCACCACATAAGCAGAAAAAGCCAGAAGTGGTGCTGTGGCTCAAATGGTAGAGTGCTCACCTTGAGCTGAAGAGCTCAGGGCCAGTGCCCAGGCCCAGAGTTCAAGCCCAGGACCGGCAAAAAAAAATAATAATAACAACAACAACAAAAATTTTAAATCAAAAGTGGACATATTCTTAGGAGAGGAAAACAAGGGTGCAATGCCTACATGCATCTGATTATATAAAATAGCATTTATCAAAATGAACTCCAGGAAATAAAAATGAAGTTTTTTCTTTGTTGCTGCTTTTTTTCTTTTTGTCTTGCCTGTTCATGTATCTGTCTTTGGAAAGGTAAGGCCGGGGGCACAGAAATGGAGGGACAAAGGCTAAACAAATGCAGCAGTGATACGCACTGGACACTATGTTGAAAATGAACTATACAACTTGTGGAGGGAAAAACAGGGAGGGGAGACAGGGGGGACATTGCCCAAAAAGAAATGCACTCTTTACCTGACTTATGTAACTGTAACCCCTCTGTGTATCACCTTTATAGGAACAACAAACACAGATAATAAAAAAATTCAAAACCCAAAATTTTAAATTCCTGTGTTATACAACTCAGTGATGGGCAGACACTCTCAGACAGTCCCACATTAGCACCAGCTGTGCTGAAATTGCAGGATCTGCTAAGTTTCCTTGCTGCTCGTTTTGTGAAAATCTGCCTTACCTCGGGGAAAAAAAAAAAAAGTGCCCAAAAAGCAAGGTAAGAGTTATGGCAAATCTCTCAAGCCAAAAAGACCATGTAACACATTTCAGTAATAAGGGTTCAGATATGTACAATCACGGTATGTATTTGGCAGATGTTGAGTGCTTTGTAGGAAAACTGAATTAGGCATCTGCTATATTTGAGATAAGCAATAGCAAGAACCAAGATCTAGGTTTGGTGAGCAGTAGTAACTGTGTGCTACAGTGATTCTGTATCCATAATGTAGCCAACTTCATGCAGCTCAGGTGATGACTGATCAGACACACATAGGGTACAGGTAAATTTGAATAATTCAGAATTCTGAGTTTATCATCCTGAGCATTCATGGTTTTTCCTCAATAGCTATCTCCTATCCACAGACATCAATGGTATAGTGTATGACACAGCTCATGTAACTTACAGTCTGGTGGTTACATCCTATGAAGTTATCACTAGCGTTTTACAGATACTGAACCAGTGCTCCTAAACAAACTATGAAATACGTACACAGAGCTCATGTAAATCAGTCTTAAATCCTGAAAACAACGCATGCTAATAGATTCCATCTTCTTTATTTTATAAAAGGGAAAATGAGGCTGAGAAATAACTTCCCTGAGACTGTGCCACCAATAGGTGCCAGAACTTTGGACTCAGACCCTAATCCAACTGAACCCAGAGAGCTGGAGCTTCTTGATATGCCCACCCCACCCCACCCTCGGGTCATTTCTGTATGAGGCAGAGTGTCATCTGATTCCAGTTCAACTAGGTATGTGCATCCTGGCCACTTATGGTTTTCAACAGCAGAAAATGTCAGCACTGTGAGAATGGCTGTACCATGACATGCACAGGTGGACACTCACATGGAGAACTCAGTCCAGAGCCACCAGAGTGTGCCATTCGCATGGATCAAGACATAATACATTCCTGGCACCCATTTTTAAGAAGCCAACTCTGGAGCACACGTGCATTTTTAAGATTTACCATGATCTGGCACCATAAGGACACAGGCAAAGTTCATAGCTCAGCACCCCAGACAACATTAACACTCAAAGCCAGCTCATCCACAGTACCTCTTCCTACCCACTCTTCCCTAGTAACCACAAGAGCTTTGGAAAGCAAAAACTTTTCTACCACCATGTGCCACATCAGATAAACTTGGGCTAAGGTAATTACTGAGAACTCCTTCTTTACTTAAGTGGCTGACACAGTGGTATTTCCTTCCATCCTAAATCTGAACAGACTCCAGTGTGATACACAGCTGCATTGGCCTAATATATGTGCCCAGAGGCCCCAAGCTCACAGGGTCACACTCTACCCACAAAGCCATGTGTCTGGCAGGAAGGAGAGACAGACGCTGAGCAGACTCACCTGATCGTTTTCGTACTTTATCTGGCAAGCCGACGCATATCGGTCACAGCCCCGGACAGGATTGAGGGGCCGACACACGTTGATGTAATACTTCCTCCATGTGACATGTTCCCGGGCGTTGTCCATGGCATACCAGTTCCCTCCATGGCTACCTTCAGACTTCACGAGACTAAAATTTCAAAGCAGAATATGCTTTTAACTTTTCATACTGGTAACCAGTAAAGAAATAAAGGCACCAAGGTAAGCACATCACAGAAGTGCTCAGGACACTGGCCCTTCACACACCCTCCCACCTTGCAGCAAGCCATGGTTTTAATGAAGGTACAGACGAAGCCTCCTCATGGTAAAGAACAGTTGCTATCACAAACACTGCCACACCAGGCCTGTGATGCCCTCTCTGTCCACCTCTCCATCCTGACCCAGCTCTCCCAGCACCAATGCAATCCCCATCAACATCAAGCACATGCCCACCACATCGCACCAAGGACCAGGACCGGCTGACTTTGCTCACCTGGAGAGATCATATTGCTCCATAGTGGAGGGGTCAGTCACCACACACTCCAGGGGCTCCTCCGGGCAGGCATAACTGGTATACCACCGGAAGTTGTAGGTAGAGTTATCCTCTTCCTAAGGGTGACAAGGAAGAAACAGGAACAAGTGGACTAGTTAGTCTGCATCCAGAGTGTCCCTCAGAGGCCCACATAGTAAAGTCTTGGTCTCCCTCTCAGTGCCACTGGGACAGGGTGGAGCCTTTAGGAGATGGAGCAGAGGTGAGAGGTCTTTAAGTCACTGGAGATGTGTTCCAGAGCCAAGTGACCCAAGCCTCTCCCCAGCTCTCTGCTGCCCTTCCTGGCCATGAAAGGAAAGTTCCCCACCATCACGTGCTGCCCTGCTGTGCTGCCTCTCCAGAGCCAATCACAGAATGAAGCCGCCAACACAGAGGCAAATCAACCTTCTGTAAGCATTGATTACCTCAAGCAGAGGTGTTATATATAAAATAGTGGCAGAGAGCTGGCTAACAGAGCAGAGAAAAAAGGAAACTGCTAAAAAAAAAAAAAAGAAAAGAAACAGCATTCAAGCCAGGCGCCGGTGGCTCACGCCTGTAATCCTAGCTACTCAGGAGGCTGAGATCTGAGACTCATGGTTCAAAGCCAGCCTGGGCAGGAAAGTCTGTGAGACTCTTATCTCCAATAAACCACCAGAAAACTGGAAGTGGCGTTGTGGCTCAAGCGGTAGAGCGCTAGCCTTGAGCTGAAGAGCACAGGGACAGCGCCTAAACCCAGAGTTCAAGCCCCACAACCGACCAAAAAAAAAAAAAGAAAAAGAAACAGCATTCAAAAAGGAACAAAGACATCATGTTAGATGAGAATTGCCTGACAGGAGGTTTACTTTCTCCATTTCCTCTCACTGTACTGAAAACAAATTAAGATGGCAATGTGGTCTTGATTAGGTGGAAATAGAAGATGATTTTCTATGCTTTTATTTTGCACCCAGTATCAACAGGTCTGTGGACTCCACAGAGGTGTACAGCCCTTCAAATAACAGTGTAACAGTAACAAATAAGCACTGCACATGCACCCAGGAAAAACTAAGGGGAATAAGTAAAGTAATGATTTGTCCCCCCACCAAAAAAAAAAAAAAAAACAATCAGACTAAATCATAGCTCTGCTTCTAAATAAGGGTTCCACACCAAGCCCGTCTATACCCGGGTGAAACCGTGCTGTCCCATCCCTACCTGATATTCGGGAAAGCCCACTCCAGCATCGCGGTCACAAAGGAAAGTGATGAGTGTGGCTCTCGGTGTGTGCTTTTCGTTGTTATAGGGGGTGCCATCCCTGTAGTTCAACTGGATCATCCCATCATAGTACGAAAGCTTCGCATTGCTCAGCCCCAAGTTCCAAGATTTCCTATCACTGAAATAACACACAGCGGTCTCTCAGGAAACCCCCAGTGCAAAGCTCTCCAAGGACACATGTGGCGAGAAGCGCCACTAAGTTGGGGGGTCCTGGGGATGCACCCACAAATGGCCAAGACCTGGGCTACAGCCCATAGGGATCCCACAGAAAGATCTCTAACTGCAGGGGAAGAGGGCTTTCTGCACTCGCCGCCAGGACCCAAACCTTCTCCCCACACTGCTGGCTTCACCAATGACTCACTTTATTAACCTGATGCTATACAGCTGAACAAATACATGAACACTCAAGAACTGAAAAGCACAAAACACGGAAGTGGAGAACCCTGACCACCTCCTCGCTCTCGAGCACATGGTTTGCTTCTTCTCCAGGAAGTTAAACTCCTGGCATCCTGAAATTGTCTAGCTATGTCTTTTCAGTGTTAGCCATGATGTTAGGAGAGAACATAGCTACCCCTGAATGAAATACATGGGAGCACATGCTGAAGACCAAACTCACAGTGAGAAGTCACTTGCCTTTTGGCTACCTGGCAGGCCCCAGAGTCTGCCTGACATGACTCCACAGACACCGCACCACAAACATTTATATAGAAGTCGTATTTCTCTGTGTCAACTCTGTAGGCACCGTTTTTCTTTGTGAGAGGTGACAAATCAAAAGAAAACCCTAAGAATAAAAATAACACAAGAATATAAGGCCAGTCAAAACTCAGTCAATTCTTCCTAGGGCAGGAGACACTGAAAGGGAAGAAGTCAACACTCCCTCCCACCCCCCACCTCCCGCGTACGGGGGCAGTGACTAGCATTTCCCCTGAAGAGGGAGTCAACACCACAGTCCTGTATTCTACTCCATTAACCTGCAGCCCTACTCAAAACCCCATAAACTTCCCATATGTGTAAGTCAGATAAGCACTGTCCAACAGCCTTCTTGTAAAGGCTAAGTAAGTTTCTGGGCTAAGGGCCAGAGCCTTTCAAGCATGAGTCAAACCCTTGGGCAGTGTTCTGGCATATCCAATCACACATGCACTGAAGATGGGATCTTTAATAGATCTTTAATAAACACTGGGTGTTTGGAATTAACAGCATTATCTACATCACTAAGGCACTCACAGAAAGGGTTTAGGGAAAAAACCCTCTGTTGATCTAAGGCACCGCAGAGGCACTACAGACACCCACCTGCCTGGGCATCCACAACCGTGCAGTTCTCGCCTTCTGTCTTCGACCGTACACAGGCAGCAGCGGTGTACCACTCGAACTCGTAAAAGCAACCACTATCCTCCGAAGTCCTCAACACTGGAGCACTTTCTAGATCACCTGCAGATGAGGGGGGAAAAAAACCAGTCACTAATCTGTTCTGAAAAACCTTCCCTTACTCTTGCTCTGTTACATTCATCCACTTGAGGATGGCTGGAAGGGGGTGTGACACACGGAGGGTCAGTCTTTTGATTCAGGCGACAGGAGGCGCCTGAGCGGCTGGATTCATAGGCAGAAGGCAGCTGGAGGCTACCAGCATCAGGGGGGGGGGGGGGGGGGTAGAGTGTTTAATAGGCACCAAGTACCAATTTGGAAAGACACGTTGTAGAGATACATGATGGCGGTGGGTGCAAAAGAAAGGGAATGATGTACTTAAAGTCACCAAACTACACTTGAACATGATGATTAGGATGGCAAATTTCTGTAATAAATACTTTCCCACAGTTTTAAAAAGTGATTAAAATGGTAAATGTTCTGCTCTGTATACTTAACCACAATACAACGAACAAGTAAAAATAGTCCTAACCTTTGGCTTCTCCCACAGCTGGGAATGTATTTAAAGGAAATAGTTCAGTGGGAGGTGGAGAGAGGATATGCAGTTAGAATTCCCAATCCTGGAAACGTTACCAATCCAACAATAGGGAAAACATTTAAACACAGTAAAGCTATACCACGTCATCAAGAAAATCCCTAACAACTAGAAATAGAACTGTGAAGCACAGTGCTCATTACAAGGAGTATTAAAATGCGAGATTGAAAGCGAGACCACGACCCAGTAGAAACAAGAATACTGTACTCCTAAAGAAAGGTGAAAGGAAGCACAGAGGGAAAACCAGGGATTGATCTAGGAATACTACATAATGCTTTTTTCTACTGTGATCCTGGGGAAATTGTGTTTTCTGCAAAATGGGTCTCTTCCTCCACACAGCTATTTTCATGTAATACTGGACATAAACTTTCTTGACAAACAGTAATTTACAATACTATTGGTTGTTTACATTCTTGATTTCTCTGTTAAAACTCCAGATATCAAAACAAACAAATTGAGGGTGGTGTTTTGTTTTCTGTTGTTTTTATTTCCTTATTTGGGATTTAAAGCATGACATTCCCAGGTACCAATTAAAGTTTAATAGTCGGAGCTTGTGCTGCTAAATACTTTTCTGAGGCTAATTCATGCTTCACGCCTAGTTTACAGTCTGGAGTCTACAGATCTTGAGAAAGCAGTTTATTTTGTGTCACCAGATATTAGAAAATATTTCTGTAGTCGAACAAATGTGTAAACAGATGTTAAAGGCCAAATCAAAAAAAAACAATCTATGATTTCCCTGCGCTACTGAGTCTGTATCAGTCCTAAGAACAGAACACTGTGTGTGAGATACGCAACTTTGCTTGGTAAAGCATAACTCCCTGTTGATTCCATATGGCTTCTCCATTTGTGGCACAAGTCCAACTGACCTGCCTCTAGAGCCTGAAGTGCTGCGCCCTGCTGCTCTCTATGCACTCATCTCTGTGTAGATGCGTGGGGAGCTGAGAAATAGGAAGGAGCAGTGCCCTCGTGTGCCTGGCGGGAGTCACCGTCACACGGCGTTCTTCCGTAACGTTTACCTGGCTTGCACACAAGCGTGATGTTGGTTGTTATTTTTTTGCCATCAGCACAATCATCACCATCTGAATAAGAGAGCCGCATGTTTCCTTTCTCTTTTGTAGGAGAAGAGACAAATTTTCCCAGGTTTTTGCTTCCAGTCTTATCTGGAAAAAGAAACAAAGTGGGGAGGGGGCATGGGTGGTGGAAGACACAGAGGGAAAACTCATCATGACATGAACAAAGAACTACAAATGAGACAAAACCCAGCAGGTGCATCATGGCTCCTTCTCCTGCCCACCTAACCTGGCTGTGACAGAAGCAGTTTTCCTTGGGTAGTTAACAGTGACATAAGAACTCCAAGGACATATGAGGCCTGTCTCTGGGCCTTGGCCAACATCAGGTGGGCCTGGTCAACCTTAGGGGAGCACAGCAAAGGTTGGGTTTTGTTCTTGATGAAGCAGAAACTTACTAAACCTGTCTGATGATCCACACAGATGGCCACTGAATTCTTGATTCAGTTGCTTTCCAAATTCCCTTCTTAACACGTGCCATGCTGGTACCTGCTTTTAAAGAATGTACCACTGGTTCTAAACAGAGGTAATTCCTCAAACCCATCAGGGCCTCATAATTCTTTCTCAAATGTTTCTAGTAGATTCTCACCATCTGGCATCTTCAGGGTGATGAATGCCAAAGCCACTGAACCTCTCTCAGACTGAGCTGCCTCTGTGTCACAGCTACAGGACCAAAACAACGGCACAGCTTCTGCTAAAAGCTAACTTTACACAGGCACTGGCCACCGGTCGTGTGTCTTCCAGCATGGTTCTTTCTGTCCCCAGTTATGGCTGCGGCCAACATCAGGTGGCCCTGGTCAACCTTAGGATCACAGACGTTAACAGCAGCCATGGACAAGTTGTGCGAATCCAGAAAAAGGAGGCCCAGAACCACAGGAGGCTCCCTACGTCACTCCACAGAGAAGGCGGACTCCACCCTCCCCTGCCTTGGGGACAGGGTCATTCCCGTCTGCCTCCGGCTACAACTCACCCACGGCGCACACTGCTGCATCCTCAGGACAGCTTCTGGCCTTGCCCTCCCGCAGCACTCGGTGACAGACATTAATGAAAAAATACTTCTTTTCTGTTTCTGTCTGGCTTCCATCCACAGCCTCCCAGTTCTGCTCTGATTCTGTAACCAGAAATAGAAGTTCCTTAACAATGAGTTCTTTCCCTGTGGGTCACACTGTAAGTGGTGACTGAGCCAAAGGTCCTGAGCCCTCGACCAGGAAATCCTGGCACCTGAGTTTCTGAAAAGGCCTAAAGACAGAGTGACAAAGTCCCAGCTTCTTCACTGAAGGCAACCAGAACCAGCCCTGCCCTGACAGACTTACTATGAGTCCCAGATCTCACAGCATGAAATCAGAGACCGAAAGCCACATCAGAAAGCCAGTCCCTGTCTTAACACCAAGCCAGTGGCTCAATGCACAGAGCTTCAGGTCCAGCCAAGGCTTGTGCTGAGAAACCTATGGCTTCTTAGGCACATGCCAGCTGTGAGCAAAACACAGGCTTAGAGCCACAGAAGGTAAGCAGGGCATGTATGGCGGAAGGCTAAGGCCCACTGGAGAGAACAGATGCTGATTGGTATCAAGAGAATATATGCCATAGGCTGAGGACATGCAGGGACGACAAGCAAGGGATGATGCAAAGCATAAGTGTCATCCTACAAACAGGCGTGGGTGGCCAGACTGGAACTGTACGGAAGGGAAGACAGAGCTAAAGGCACATTCCTACTGAATCATGTTTGCAGGCAGGGCATTCAGAAGGCAAAAACCGCAGCTGGCCAGTGCTGACCCGGTGCTTTTGGGAGAACTACACGGCTACTCCCTGCTGAAAGCCTGAAGAAATGCCACAGGACAGGGTGGGCACCAATAGCTTCCCCTAAGTTTCTAAACACAAAGCACAAGAAATGATACCCAGGAAGTCCAGGAAGTTCTCATTAAACTCTAAGATGGGCCATGGTAACTCAATCAGAAAATGACAATGTGCGTCTCAGTACACCTCTCAATTCAGTGTTCCTTCCAATGTGTATTGTCATAAGAAAGCAGAGAAAAAGGGCCATGACACAATTAGATGCCGTCTATAACCAGTGGCAGTACTAAACTACTCAGGGGCAGCTGTCCTATGAACCCGGGGCAAGGTGCACGTAGGGTGTAATACGATACCTGAGTGGCGGGCCAGCACAGACAGGTCGTAGCGCTTCTTCCCGTCACTGGAACCGCAGAGGAGGTCTTCCTTCTCTTTGACACAGGCGTACGTCGTGTCCCATGTGAAGAAGTAGGTGCAGTCTACCTCCCCTGTGAATACAGGTCCTCCTCTCCCTTCATTACCTGAACAACGGTAAGAGGAAAAGAACTTCTGCGTGACTCAAACCAACAGAAGGGCTGAGAAGCAAGGAAAGAAACCAATACCAAGCCCAATGCCATGTGTCCAGTGAACATTCATGCCTGGAGACCCTAGAGACATAGGATCGGGGATTAGAGTGACGATCATCAAGCTCCAGACACTCACACATAGCCCTGGCTCGAAGCCTACATCCCTTTCATCTTGGTAAAGCAGCACCATGCGGGCCTCACAGAAAGCTGTTTACAATGCACCAAAGAGATGCAAAGAGAACAAGAGGCACATGGCCAACAGCAACCTCTGCTGCTCCAGACTGCAAGAAAAGAGGCTCGACAAGGTCTCTGAGTGAGACTGGAGGTCCAGTTCCCAGAGTGTCCTGGACTGATGAAATGATCGTGAATAAGACCAAGTTTCCCGGGGCTCAGGCCTTCAACAGTAGTGACAAGACAGAGCTCTCCTACAGCAGTTCCAGCTGAATTGTAATAGAATGCTATACCAAACCTGCCAGGCCACAGACACAGCTGGGTGCTACCAACGTCCCTGTGTCCCCACCAGTACACGGGGCTGTAATGTCCCTGGTCACTGGGATCAACAGTTACTCCTCCAGCACCACCCACAGATTCCCCACCTGCTCACCAGGGCCAGGCAGCAGCTCCCCTCCTTCCCAAAGCCGGGATCTGCAGCCAGGTTCCGCGCAGCTCACCGCCTGGAAGCCCACCCCACCCTTGCCTTGCCAGTGGTGGCCGCGGGCAGAGGAATCCCCATTTTTCAACCATGAACTGTTTCCTCATCTTTGCCTGGACCTCACACCTGTCTGTTTTCCTCAGTGAGGTTTGGTGTCCTGAGCTGTCTCATGGTCTAAGGAAAGGAGAAGGTTGTGTTCCAAGGGCAAAGTTATAATTTCTACTCAACGCTGCATTCTACAACTTTTCTAACAATGGCTAAGTGGTGCTTTCAACCATATCAAGGCCAGCTGTGCTGAGACAGACCGTGAAACTTCCACCTATTAGCAGATTATCCTCAAAGCCCAAAGGCGTAAGGATGATTTTAGCCTCACCATATGGATTTAGAATGGCTAAATAACTCACCTGTGGTGAGAAAGGAGGGGGAGCCAAAATCAAACCCTTACGGTGTGGTCCAAGACCCAAGCTTAAAACCACAAGGCAAGACCTCCCCATTGTAAGGGTGGGAGAGGGGGAGCGTCTCTTTTATAATGTGTTTCCAGGTGGCTGGTTGGTTTTGTATTTCATAACTACCTTCAGCCTCAAGAGAAGTATGACTCTTGCGTCCTTTCCTGGGCAAAGTCCAGGGCTCAGCAGCACTGCTCTCTCTAGGTGGACCTCTGCACGGCACTAGCTCAGTAGCTCTGTCACTTGTCTCTTTCCAACTTGCCCTCAGCTTCCCCGTGGTTGAATCCAGCATGAGATTCACAGCTTAAGTCAGCTAAGCAGATCACAAATGGAAAAGCTTAGTTTCTATAATCTAAGCATCCACAGGGTTTCTTTATCAGATAAGTTCATGTTACAATTGTTCTGCAGCCAGAAATAGTTCTAGAACTCTTCCAATTTACCTGATTCTGCACCTGAACGAAACCATCTGCAGGGACGCATGCTGTCTTCTTAGGCTTCAAAGGAGCTGAGCAGAATGGAATGAGGCCACTCTCACCAACATTTAAGTATGGTGGCTCTGTCCTCTTTCTTCCTGGAGTCTGAGGGTCTTGTGCACTCATCAACATGACCAGTGGGAGCTTTTCCCCATCTCTGCCTCATGCACGGCCCCAAAGACACCAGCCTGGCTCCCAGGCTCCATTTTATGACAGTACACATGTACGTGGGCTCCTATGTTCTGGGTCTTGTGACTAGCAAAAGAGGAAGGGACTTTTCTAATGAAATCACAGAGCTCTCTGCCAAGGAGCAGGGGCAGCATTCATTCCTCCAGTCCTCTGTATCAAAGACAATGCTGCTTTTGACCAAATCACCTCATTTTCTGGCTAGGTACACTGTGAAACTCCACTTTCCAGTTTCCTCAGCCTGTAAAGTCAAATGATTCAATTCTTGCCCCATTGTTTAAAAGACAATGCTATTCCAAGTCAGCATAGACTTTGGTTGATAGAAGTACAAAAGTACAGAAAAGGCAGGATTCCTTGAACGACCACATGGAGTGGAGCACCCACCAGATCCCGGCCCCAGCAACCCACACTATGCATGCTCCGAGCAAGCTAGAGTTGTGGGTGGGTTCTTCTTTTAGCCTATCCTAATATACTCTACTGTTCCCAAAATTTATCCCAAGTTCTTTTTGGACAGGATCATGAAAAATAAGGCCATACTTTACAGCAAACTAGATTATTGAAACAAACAGCAAAAAACTATCAAGGTCCAAATGATGTATGTATGTACCTTTGAGTCTTGACAACGTATGAGTCTGAAATACAACTTTAATATACTATATTATGTTTATCACAGAGCCAGTTTCCCATTCATATTTAATAACACACTACTAGTACACTTACCCAATAAATACAAACTCTGCCAAAAAAACTTCCATCTGAAAATTCTAAATTTAAACTTGAATAAAATAGTAAAATAGGGCTGAGAAATGTGTTTTAGTGGTAGAGTACTTGCCTAGCATGCATGAAGCCCTGAGTTTAATTCCTCAGTACAAAATATGCAGAAAAATGCCAGAAGTGATGCTGTAGCTCAAGTGGTAGAGTGCTAGCCTTGAGCAAAAAAGAAGCTCAGGGGCAGTGCCCAGGCCCTGAGTTTAAACCCCAGGACAGGCAAAAAAGAAAAAAGTAAAATAATATTATAGTAACTAGTACGTTCAGAAGTTTAGAGTGCTGAATCACAGAGCAGAAAGGGGTTAGGATTAGTTTCCTATCAACCCCTGCCTGAGAGGAAGCTCAATACTCACATGGGGGCTGGGAAGGTGGCTCAGTGGTAAAGTGCTTGCCTTGCATGCATGAGGCCCTGGGTTCGATTCCTCAACACCACATAAGCAGAAAAGGCCAGAAGTGGCACTGTAGCTCTAATGGTAGCACGCTAGCCTAGAGCTGAAGAGCTGAGGGACAGCACCCAGGCCCAGAGTTCAGCCCCCATGACCAACCAAAAAAAAAAAAAAAATTTCATATGGACGTTTTCTCTGGGTGAGCCTCTGTTCCAGCCACAATGAGACCAGCACAGTAACACACTCAGTGCTTATCAGGTTCTGCAAGGGAGCCGAGGTCACATCTATGGCTCGAGCCATAGATGACATAGGGTGTACAGGAAGTGAGCATGGGAAAACAATGCTTGTTAAGAGAAGTGGCCATATAAATGCCACTGCTCTACACGTCTAGAAACTTCCATAATGAAAAGGAAAAACCGCCTCTGGAATGGTTCAAACCTTAAGTGGTGGCTACAGCTTTCTGGGAGTAATGGTTCACTGTCCACAGCCTGCCTGTTTCCTTCGTGTCCCAGTCAGGCCCCCCTCATCCCTCTGCTGCCGCTGGGTCAGTCACCATTCCGTTTGCCAACCCCCAGATGAGACTGGCACAGCGCAGTTGTTAGCAGACCCTCAGCAGACAGGGCCACAGGAAGCCAGGACAGGCCCAGGTCAGGATGAAACAACAGGGCTCAGACCACAGAAGCCAAGTGATAGTGTGGCAGCCTGGCAGGCGTCTAGCAGGGCTGGGTCCCCGCCCGGCACCCAACAGCAGTGCCCACTGGGTCATGAGTGAGGAAGGCAGAACTCAGAGTTCGGAGGTGGTCTCCCATTAAGGGAGAATGGTGGAGAACCCGAGGAAGGAGACTGTATAGTCCAACCAAATGAAGGAGGGGAGCACTTGCCACCCAGACTGAGAATGCTGGGGAATTCATGCCACTTCCAGACAGAGCCAGTTCCAACGTGGTACAAGCTTCTCCACACTGCTCCACTCAGCTTTGCAGGCTCACACTCAGCCTTGTCTTATCAGCCAATCCCTGACCTGCTCCCAGCTACCCAAGTCTATGCCTTTGAAGGCCTGGACCTGGCCCCTGCAACCAGCCAGGCACCTGGCTAGCTGCTCCTTTAGGCTGCCCTGCAGCCAGCCTACTGACCTCAGGCCTCCCTCTGGGTAAAGGGCAACACAGAGCAAAAGCTTCAGCCACCACAGTCTTATCTCCCATCTGTTTACAGAATGCCTGAAGGCCATCTGCCTCCACAACCCCTCAGGCCTTCCAGGGCCTTAGCAAACAGGTACTAAAAAAATGTAGATGAGAGAGTGATAAGGAAGAGCCAGGCCGCCAGCTCCAAAGACAGAGGGAGTCCACACAGGCTTCTTCCTGAGGACTGAGCAGTACCAGCAGACCCTGCCAACTGCCAACCAGAGCCTGCAAGGTCACACGTAGCCCGCGGGTACCCCGACTCTGGCTGAGCTGCCTCAGCCCATTCTGCACTTGGTGCAGTCATACGGCCTCTCCCAGATCACAATGAGTTGTGTAGGAAAGACCAAACTGCCCAAGCTCTGCCAGAGGAACACACAAAACAAACAGCAGCTCCAGAGAGACCCTCAGGAGAGGCAGCCGCCTGTGCCTGAGCCCCATGGAACACAGACAAGGCTGAAAGCTCGCTGAAAGCTCCCAAGGAGAGGCCTTCAGAAGCACATCAGCAGGGCCAGGGCACAGCCTGGGACCCAGGAACAGAGCAGGTTTCTGGTGCCGAGGAACCCAGTCGCCTCTCAACAGTGGCCATGTGTGTGGGAAATCTTCAAGCGAGTACCTTGATGCCTCAGAGCCACTTCTAATCACCATGTCTTCAATCAGCATTTTCCAGGACATCTTGCAACCCTCAAGTCTAAACATTACCACAGAGCCATCACTTTGCAAAGACAGGTTAGTTCGAAAATCATGGCATACAGCAAACCCTGGCTGGGTCGCTGCTGTACCACACGGGCCTAAAGCCACCAGCCTCATGAACCATAAACTTTTCTTGTAAAATGAAAGGGGGGGGAGGGAGGGAGAGAAGAAAAGATGGGAGAGAAGGAGATAGGAGATAGGAGAGAGGAGAGAGGAATGAGGGGAGAGGGAGGAGGAAGGAGGAGAGAGAGGGAGGAAAAGGAGAGGGGAGAGAAGGAAATCAAATGATGGCATGAAGGAAGGTACACCAGAGAAGCAAAGTCGCCTCTGCCAGATCTGCCCTGGCTGGAGCTGTGCAGAAGAATTCAAGGCAGAAACTCTCCTAGCCAGCAGGGCTAGACCTGTTCCCAAGACAAACACACAGCAGAGGAAAATAGAAACAAGATGTATGTGCTGTGGAAGGAGTGAGGGCTAGTGAGGAGCTCTTATGCCAACAGAAAAACTCAGTCTAAGGACTAGAGATGGCCAAGTCCAAAGGAGAACATCAGACTGCTTCATTCTGCATTCTACTTTCAATAAAATGCACATACATGCATACAAACACACACACACACACACACACACACACACACACACACCCTCAACACAGGGTATAGGGGTTCAGGTCCAGCACACACTCACCTGCAGTCTTATTGCACTCGAAGTTTATGACACTCATCCGCTGAAAGCCAGAGCTGCATTCATCGCCTCCAAAATATATCAAGGTGAGGTCTCCATCTGAGTACCTAGATTTGTGTGCATATACATACAAATGGAGTTTGTTGAACCAAGATAGAAACTTCAAGTTTTACAAACTGCTTATGAACCCTTCTGCATGCTGGCACAAAACAGCAAACTCTCAAGGTAGCTGGGCAAATGTTGTAAGGAAACATGTCTCCAATGTCCAGCGCCGTCATCCAGAGTGCCAGCAGAGCGGCCAGGAGGAGGGCGCTCCTGCTCTCCATTTGGGATTTCATACAAAGTAAACAAATGCCGTGGAACCAGACATCCCTTCTAGCAGCTGTCCAAAGCACCTCCTACCTCAACGGTCCTGGACAACAATAAACCTCTACAATGCTCTCTGATGGAATTAACAAGTTAGGTCACAAGAACTGCACTGAGGAGCTATTTTCAACTTGTATATATAGCTAACAGGGTTTCAGGTTCTCAAAATGCCCAAAGAAAATCAAGATTCCTCACAAATATAAGCTTTAAATACAAGAACTTAAAGCACCATCCATGCATGGAAAAAAACAAGCGTGAGGCCCTGACTTTAAGCTCCAGTACCAGCAGCTAAATAAATAAATAGATAAATAGGCCTTAGGGGAAAAATGCAAGAGTATGTCAACTGTAAACTACATAAATTTCCTACGGCATAGTTCCCTACAAACAATAGACTTATAAAATCAATGGTTCTAACAGACCCATTCTTATAAAACCAGGAAAAGCAGCCAGCTGTTTAGGAACAAATGTCAGCTTGCCCAAGTCATACCGGAAGGAGTGCTGGCCCGAACTTCCCGGTGCTCAGAGAGCCAAAGGAGGAATTTTGCACACACAACACAAGTGACAACCACGAGGCAGCGCTTACACACCGGAGGGTCTGGTTCTGGTGTCTTCCTGATATTTTGACTTGAGTAGAATCAGTCTTCTTCACTTGGCAAACTGCAGCCTCTTTGTTATTGCAGATCTGGACGTCAGTGTTTCCACACACACTCATGTAAAATGTGTATTCTTTTCCATCCGCAACATAGTACCCTACAGATGTGAGACACAAGAAGAGCTGGCTTCCATGGACAGGCACACACAGCGTGGCACTCCTGAAGGCAAACCTGACCCCTGTCTGCCAGTCCAGTGAGGCCCTGCCTCTCCCAGCCGGAAGCAAGGCAGAGTAGGGACCACGCACCGGTCTGCTGGGCAAGGGGTCTGAGGTCGATGGCGATGTCATGCTGCTCGCTGTTCAGGAGGCAGGTTCCGCTCTCCAGGTAGTCTCGGTGGCAGGCGTACTCGGTGATCCACTCAACCTCGTAGCGGCAATTGGACTTGGCAGTGAGCTTGGGAATGGTACCCTACCAGCGGCAAAAGGAGTGGACAAAGAGTTCTAAACAACATCTTAAATGCACGTGCCCAATGCTTTGGAAAGCTCACTGACAGATTAGGTTTTTTTATTTTTCTGTTCTTGGTTTTTGAATCAAACTTGACACAATGATTAAATGACTTATAGAAACTTACTTTTACCTTTTTTAAAACTTCTATCATATTTTAACTTTAATTTTTTTTCCATCTGACTTAGAACAACTGCCTCTACTTTCTCCCTCTACTTTTAACTCCCTACACAGCAACACTCACACTTCAGCCAGTGCAGGTATCCTGACGTGAGGGTCCCAGAGAATCATGACCCCACAGGCAGCCCGAGAGAGCCACTGCGGTCTTCTCCCGAACTGAGAGCCTCCCAGCGCCCTCCAGGACTCACCCCAAGGGCAAACACCAAAAGCCTCAACTGCAAAAACCACAAGATGGAGGAGTGAAGGCTTATGACTAAATGTGTCTTCACCCACAACAGCTTTATCCCGTTCTGTTTTGTGGTTTGTATAGTGTTATGGGGTTGTTTTGTTTTTTTTTTTTTAGGGTAGAGTTTTATTAAGCAACTCAGACTATCCTTGAATTCTTAACGTCTCCAGAGTGCTAGGGTTAAAAGCGTGTACCACCATGCTCAGCTCAGAGCAGCTTTGAGGGCAGGCACCACGTGACTGACACCTGGCCAGTCTTAGAAAGGGGTCACAGATGTCTCCCAGAGAAACCATGTCCCTTCTTTCCTTGGTATGCCTCCTACCCCATGTACATGGTCAGCCAGCACTGGTGGTACATGCCTGTAATCCAAGCCCTTGGAAGATCAGTCAGGACAATTCTGAGTTCTAGCCCACCATGGGTCTACAGTGAGACAGAATACTGTCTAGAATACACACACACTACCCAGTGTGAAGCAAGTAGCTCTCATAGTGAGCCCGAGATCAGAGCTCTCCAGGAAGCTTGCTTCATCTTCCCACCAAGTCCCAGGCCCTGCCCGCCTGCCTGAAACACGGATGTGTGTCACACGAGGGATTCGGGCTGAGCTTACAGCTTTGCCGCCACCCTGAGGAAAGCACTCACCTCCCTCCGCTCAGAAGGGCACAAAAACGTGATCGTCACCGCGGGGCTGTGGCCATCACAGAAGTCCAGCTGCCCTGGCCCTTCCCTCGCATAGCTCAGGACAAGCCTGTGGGAGCCGAACATGGAGAGAATCACAAACACATACAGCAGGTTCCAATTAACATCCTATCCTGAGCACGTACTGCATGGGGACGCAGGAGAGGACAGAAGAAACAAACTATAGCAGCGACAGCACAGAACAACTTCCATTTCCATTCTAGAAAACAGCTTAAAAGCAACCTATTGTTAAAAGTCAAATAAAATGGCCAGAGTATAAACTGAAAATACTTAAAAGACTAAGGGGAGCTGCTTGAGCTTTCAAAGAATACTTTCATAAATGACATAAAGCCGAGAGAGCAGAGCAGAGCAGAGCAGGCCAAGGGCACTACTGTCCCCAAGGCTGCAATCTTTTCCTCTTGAAACAACTTTGTGCAAGCCAAAAAGTTTACTCATAGGCTGCAAGCAGCCGGCCCAGCAGCACCAGCCAGGCTCTCCTGAGCACCCAGAGATCTCTGGCGAGGGCCTGCCAGGATGGGTCAGCACCAGTCAGAGGACCCCTGCCTTTGCTGTGGATATGCCCAGCATCCCATGCACCAAAACACAAGTGCTAAAAATAGATGCCCTGCCTCTTCTCCCCGTCCAGCACACATTGCTGCCCACATTTCATGGCCCACATTTCTCTAGAGCCCCGGCAGCCTGCCCAGATCTGAGTCATCGGCCTGTCACTCCCAACACTCGGCCTCATGGTCCACATGCCGCAGCAGTGGCCCCGAGGGGTCGGGGACTCTAAGAGTAAAAAGAAAGTTAGACAAGTGGGTTCTATACCAACAATTCTGGTGTCTTTCTAACAAGAAGACATGAGAGCAAGGACACAAAGGAAGACAAGAGACAAGACCCAGGACCGGCCACAGGAGAAAGCAACCCAGCTGACACCTTGTCTCAGACTTTTGTGACCTGACAGTGAGGAATAAAAGTTCTGTGGCTTAAGCCCCACAGTATGCAGCTTGAGCAAATTAATATGGATGGGTATATAGAAAATTCCAGCATTTTTAACTTAGGCCATGCTGCAGTGTCCTCTGCAGACAAAACAGCAGTGTGCACTGCACATCAGTCCTCACGCCTCCCCAACACAGCAGCAGCTCCAGACCACAGCCAAGCAAAGCAAGGCCTATGAGAGGCTCCAGGAGGGAGAAGAGGAAACCTGTTCAGGACATGATCACCTACACATAACAAAAGAAACCTTCTTCTCGCCAGAGGAGGCACAAAGCTGTCAAAGAAGCAACCGCTCTCCACTGGGAACTGGGGTGAACTGGGGTGCTCGTGCTCTGGACCTAAGCACAAGGTCGTCCTGGAGGACAACCAGCACACTGCCAGTCCTGTTTCCTGCCCTCTATGGAGGACATGACTGGTCCTAGGGAATGAAAGCCATGAGAAGCCCCCTGAGGGGAGATTACCTCCTAAAGCAAACAGAGGCCTGGGATGTGGCCTAGACCACCGTCTGCATTTACTCCCACGGGTACCATAGGACTAGAAAGTGAGCAACAAGAAAAGTCTGATGAGACTCAGTTGTCACCGATGGCCTTAAAAAAGCATATGGAAAGAAGCAAGTTCACAGACTGACCCCAAGCTCTTCTCTACAAGTCAGTTTAACCATTTTTATTAGCATGTATCAATTATGCAAGCAATTGGCTTCACTGTAAGATCTTCATCCCTGCATATAACATAGATTCTATTCACACGGACTCCAGTCACTCTCACCTGTCCTCCGGCTCCCAGCCCCTTCCTTGTCCCTAAACCAGCCCCTTGTTGATTGAAAATGCAAACCACAGTGGAGGTCGATGACTGACCTGTCCTTGCTCACCAGCTTCAGCCCATCCTTAGGCTGGCCCACGTCAAACCCCTCATTTCCTCTCAGCAGGCAGGCAGCAGTACCAGTAGGACAGGCATGCAGCTGTGGGCTCGAGCCCCGGAGGGAGTCTGGAAAACATCGCAGGTGACATTCAAGCAGATGTGTCAGATACAGTCCCCACGTGTATCCTGAGGTCCAGGGTCTTGCTAAACAAATGACTGGATTTTTAGTCAGTTAAGTGCACAACCTCCACCCAGAGGCCCAGGTGAGCCCTTCTAAAGCATTGGTGAGGAAATGTGAAGTACTGCTCTGCCTGACCATGATAGGCCCTAGTGGACAGATCAGACACAGACACACACACACAGAGACACACACACACAAAGACACACACACACAGTTTCTCTAACTTTGTTCTAGCCTCTTCTACTCACTTTGGTCTAGCCTATCTTGCTCCCACTCTCTGTCTCCCTCCCTCTCTCCCTCTTATACTTCTTGTCTAGCCGTACACTGATACAGTGGCTGGTGTGTGCTTTCACAGGCTGGAGGAGAGAGGACAGAAACACAGCAATGCATCCCGAATACACCAGACCTTTCAAACCACAGCAGGCGGCTATGGCAAGTGCAGCTGTGCTTCTCCCGACCCTTACATCTTAATGCACAGGCTCCCTGGCTGACTCACTCCATACCTCCTCCTACCTAGCCATATGCTCCACAAAAGGATCCAGAACCTCAAAACATGCCCAGCCACAGAAGTGGTGAAACTCTCCTGTGGGTGGGGGTTAGCCACCTCTTCCCGGGCAGAGGGAGAGGATGCCCCTGCCTCCTGCCATGGGGGTCACCTGCCAATAAGCAGGGCAGCAAACCTGTGGCCCACGTGATGGCCCCTTGGTCCCCCTCCCAGTGCCGCTGCGCCCAGGCCCTCAGGGTCACACCGCCTGGGTTCCCAAAGGCAAAGGAAAGGCATGTGCTTGCAAACAAAAGATGGACACCTGGCCACACAGCCCACTGTCCACGAAAGCAGCAGGGTCACATCCAAGGTCACTTCAGGGCAGAGGATGTGAATACAAAATGGGGAGCCAGGGAGATCAACACTACTCTGAGAACCAATGCAGCAAATTCAACCAAAACTGCTACTCATGGGAAAGAAAAAGTAATGTTTGTAAGACAATGGCCAGTGAATTCAGATAATCTTCAGGAGGATAAAAGACCAGAAATCTAAATGTTTTCCAAATCAAAACAGCCTGTTTCAGAAGTCAATATTCCATGAGAACTCAACTTTAACACCAACCTTGAATGACTGACCCACTGAAAATGAAGGGCAAAGGCTGTCCCTGACAAAGGGACCACACAAAAAATCTAAGTGAAGTTCGTCTCTGGCTAGTTTGGGGAGCCATTTAGGGGTATATTTATTATTGTAACTATTTAGAAATAAGTTCGACCTAACCAGTAACACGGCTGTCCACACAGAACGAAGACGGGAGAGGAAGGGCAGCCTTACGTGCCCCTCACCCATCACGCTCACCTATGTCTCTACACACGTTGATGAACAGGGAAGTGTCGGGATCAGAGTCATCCACCAGGTAGCCTCCGCTCAGCTTGATCAGCGGGTTTAAATCGTGTTTCTTCAACTCGGCGTCGAATGCATAGCAAGGCACCTGGGAGGGAAGGAGAAGAGAGAACCTTCCTTCATCACACACCCTGGGACTCATGGTCAGACAAGCTTGAGGCTGATACCACACAGCGCTGGGCTGTTCCCGTGGCCTTCCAGGCCATGGTGCCGAGGACTAAGGACGCGTGAAGAGGGTGGACAAGGGTGCCATCCTCCATGGTTTCTAGTGCTGTTCTCACCTACTCGAAGCTGCGCTTCTGCCCCTGCCTCCTCAGGGCACCACCCCTCTTCCCGCCTCTCCCGGTACAATACCAACCACTATGCTCATCTCTGAATCCCCCACTGCTACCCTCACATCTGTGCAACTTTAAGCTCAATTCCTTGATCCATCCCTATGCACCAACTCTTCTTCCTCACTCCCTGCTCTCCCTAGTGCCCTCCTGAATGCTAGCAGATGGGTGTCTGTCTCTTCCCCATCAAGGCCACACCTGCCAGGGGACTTTGACAGCTGCCAGACGAGGCTTATAGTTCAGGCTTCCAAGCCTTATCTGGTCTGAAGAACCAGCCATGTTTCCAACCATGGCCTGCCTTGGACAGCTAGCTCTGCCCCTTGCATCCTGGACCCCCAGCAGTACCTCGCAGCAGGTTCTTTCTCAAACATTCCTCAGCATCCCTCTGGCTCGCTAAACACAGGTCTCCACAGCAGGCCCGGGACACCTCACCCCCTTGTCTACGTACCCTTTGATGCCCTGGTGGAATGTGGCCTAAATCCCTACTGGTGACCCTAGCCCAAGAACTCTAGCTCTCACCTTTCCCTGTAACTCCTGCCTTGTGGAACCAACAGAACATCTGCGTTTATGAGCACAGACTCGAGACAGGGTGCTCAGGCTCAAGCTCTGTTGCTGAGCAACGATGGATGAGCAAACTACCTCAGTTTCCCCACGTATCAGAAGGAGAGGATGAGCTTCATGGTTTCTCAGGGCTGATGTACAGCACAGGCGGCTCTGCTGTCATTTGCTGTAACCACCATCACTCTCAGACACACAAAAGCAATTCTGGTTTAACATTTACAACTGGACTCTGATTTCTCCTCCAAACATGCTCTCACTCCAGTGTTCCCCACGTCAGCAAACGGGACAAGCATTCAACCAGATTCTCAGACAAAGACTGTGAGCTCTGGCATAGCCCCCCTTTCTTACATGCTACACGCACCCACTGGCAAGTCCCCGCAGTCCTGACTTCAAACTCCATCCTGGGCTCCCTTTCCCCCTCCTCCACCAGCCCCCCTCCCCCTCCAGTCCTCACGCCAGCTCCAGTGTCTCTAGCTACAGCAAGGCCACACCCTTAGCCTCCACCCAGTCTCTACAACCACAGGCTTCAGCTTTCAAAAGAGATGGGCCCACACCCCTCCTTGCACCTTCCCACTCTGCAGAGAATAGAAAGGAGGCCGGTCTGGTCCCACACTCAAGCCTCTTCCTCCTCTGCCCTCTGCTCACCCCACACAGCCTTGGCAACCTCCCACCGCAGCCCTGCCCTAGGAACCGACCCAGGCTGCCTGGACCCCTCCTTCACGTCCTTCAGGCCTCAGACAAAATGTCTCCATTTTCTGAGACCGCTTTGTGGCCTTTCTCAGCCTTCCATTGCTTCACAGCATGGACATGCCACGTGGTATCACACACTGCTATCTGGTCTGACCCCTCCCTGAAACAGGGCCTCCAGCCTGGAGACAGCCCTAACCAAGGCTTCAGAAAATGCCAGGTACAAAGCTGGAGCTTAGTCAGAATCTACTCAAGAAAATGCAGCAGCCACCTTTCCGCACTCTAATTTATGGCCATGTCTATGACAAATGGCTCTCTTAATGTGTCAAGGAACTCATTAGTGTCCTGAGACCCTGTACATGAAAACCTTTGCCTCATTGTGAAACAGAGCATTCAAGCCCAAAGATGCACCCAGAAGTAAAAGGCTCCACTTACCAAGAGAAAGAAAATCACTGATTAAATGACCTGTTTTAAGATACCCTAAGGAATACTCTCAAAATCCATGTTCCGGCAACCATTTCCAAGTAGTTGCCTTTATTTCCATGGAAACACTTCCTAAAATTTTCTCTTTTTGGTTTGATGCCATGCATAAGCCAGACTAAGTACAAAAGTTAACTGCTTAATAGTTAGCTTTCAAGTTTTCTTACAAAGATGCTATCAAATCTGCAGGCAGGCTTTAGCTTACTGACCTTATCCTTAGGCCTGATTCCAGAGATTTCTCAGAGAGCTAGGAGGGTCTATCTAACAACTTTACAGTTCTGCACAGCTTCAGAGCATGTAAACTCCGGCCTGCCAAACCCACAAAGCCATCTCCCACCACCCAACAAACTTCCCCAATCCAAAGGAATCCCTGATAAGGGAGGAGGTTGGCATGCAGAACCGCAGTGAAGGCCACATTCCCACAAAAGGCAAGGCCACATTCCCACAGAAGGCACGGAAAAGAAAAGGTGGTTATCTCTGCAGGCTAGCTGGTGTTCAGTGAAAGCAACCATATGTGTCTCTAATCCCACAAATCTAAAGTTTGTCATCCACAGAAAATCATGTGAGCCCATTCACTCATGAGGGGAATGAGTCAGCTGGCTGGTTAGGGAGAAGCCAAATACAAGCCTGAGACAGAAATGGAGACACTACGGCACGAGGCCAAGAATGAAAGGGAGGCGGGGAGGGGGGGAGCCGCCACTCTGGAAAGAACCTACTGCTTTGATTCTAGCTCATGCAAGGACTCTTCTCTTCGAGGATTCCAGGTGGGGGTGTCCATGCCCCCACTGCTGGCAGTACCACCCTTGTGCTGCCATGTCACTCCAGGAGAGGAGAGAAAACACCCCAACAGTGCTCCACAGAACTAGAGTGTGGGTGGCAAATAGCAGTCCAGGACGCCAGAGGAATGCCTCCTACTTCCTGCCCCACCGTGCAGGGCAAAGGAGACATTCACCAGCTTGGGAAAGGAACTGTCAGCGACATCCTATACACTGTGCTAACATAGACGCTGCACTGCATCTCGCCAGACTCTAGCAAGAACACAGCAAGCCAGCAACTTCCAGGTACCAAAGACATACACACAGTATTCTCAGGAAATAATTATAAGCCAATCACCAGTGGCTCACTCCTGTAATCCTAGCTACTCAGGAGATCCAGAAAACTGCAGTTCAAGGACAGAAAAGTCTGTGAGATTCCAGCTTCAAAATAATCAGCAAAAAGGCAGGCTGGCCGGCCAATGGCTCAGGCCTGTAATCCTAGCTACTCAAGGAGGCTAAGATCTAAGGATCATGGTTCAAAGACAGCACAGGCAGGAAAGTCCATGAGACTCTTATCTCCAATAAACTACTTAGAGAATGGGAAGTGGCACTATGGCTCAAGTGGTTGGTAGAATGCTAGCTTTGAGTTGAAGAGCTGAGGGACAGCGCCCAGACCCAGAGTTTAAGCCCCACAACCAACCAAAAAAAAAAAAAAAGAGCCAAGATTTATGTTTAAAACTCTCCCCAGAATTTATACAGCATAGGTGTAAATGGCACTGTCCAAAACTACCATAATCTCTGTCCATCTTTCTGAATTGGACACAGAGAAACAGGGCAAATATGACAAAGGAAGGTATGGAAAAGAAAAACACTTGAAGCTAAGCAGCTGAGACTTCTGGAGGTATTTTGGAGGATGAGGAGTGTTTTCCAAGTACATCAAGCATGAGTAATTTATTTTTTTTTACTGATCCTACTGAAGCCTATCCACAGTGCAGCCCGGGACTGCCCATGTCCCAACAGTCACTGTGCTCTCTGGTCCTTTCCCTCTAACAACTCTCCCAAGGGCAGAGGGCAATCGGGAATACGGCTGAGCCGGGGCCCCAGAAAGCAAGAACCAACTTAAAACTGGAAAGTGACAATGGGTTCAGTCAATAAAAACAGCATAGGAAAAGAGACAAATAATGAGGCAGTAACTCAGAACAAATTGCTAACACTTCTCCTGCTTCTTCAGATTAGCTTCTAAGAGAAATCAATCTTCGAGAAAAATACAAACTCTGGCTCCCTGTCCCCAAAGACCTTTCAGAACACTGGCTACACAAAGCAACCAAAGCCACAAGGAAAGGACTTCAGGCTGGACGAGACACATAGGTGTCCGTCACGTACGCCTGCATTTTTATAGCCCTGTAAAAACGTAAGCACCATTCTTAGTTCTGGGTCATGAGTGGGACAGGAGTTCTTACAGAAAACAAGTTGCCACTTGTTTCTCCAGGAAAGCATTGTTTCTTAAGTAGTAGAAGATACCATTGTCACTTTGGACACTCTAGATGAAACAAAACCCTCAATGTCTCTAGCAGGTTGGATAATTCAGCCCAGAAGAATGTCTGTGGGGCTCAAAAAGGTCAGGGGTGTGGTGAAGGAACTAAAAAACTCAGCCACCTGGACACCCTACCCCACCCTGCACTTTGAGATGTCACTTTGAGATGTTTCTCCTACTGCCAGCAATATAGGCTTAAGTTTTACAACTGAGAGTTTAAATTTTACACCACTTCCCAATTATATCGGCCTCCTTTCCACTTTAAACTGGGGCTTGAATTCAGGGGCTTGAATTTGGTAGCCCTGACATTTGGTAGCCTGAGCCAAGACTCCAGCCTATATTTTTCTTCACTGAGCATCCTTATAGGATTTTCTGGAAATATTTTGCCTCTTTCTCTTCGGACTATCTTCTCTTTAAGGATGACCATATTTTTAAAAACCACTGAAAATTTATTTACAACTTCATTTTTCAACAGTAAACACTTTTTGCCCTCTTCAGTTACACAGTATGAGGCCAATAGTAAAAATTACTGATCTCTACCATTTGTTAGTTCTTAAGTCCCAACAGTCTCTGCACACAACCCATAAGGGCAGGAACCTAAAGGCCAACCGTGAGAAGAGTCAGTTATCTTATCTGAGCAGGACCAGGACTGCAGGATCTGAAGGGGGTAGGAGGGGTCTCCCCTGTGTCCCACAGCCAGGAACAATCAGGGCAGACCCACAGGGTGGGGTGGAGAAGAGGAAAATGCCAGGAGACTCCCTGTATGGCATTTCAACTATACTTAACAACGCTAACTACTCACCAGTGTTGTGTCTTCAAAGTCACTGAGTCTATTTTAAGTACTCTCACCCCAGTAAACCACTTTACTAAGCTCAATCCCACCATTCCACAATGCATTCCAAAACAACATCCTGTACATGAGTGGGAGTGATAGGACCTTGTATTTTTTTTTCCAGTTGTGGGGCTTGAACTCAGGGCCTGGGTGCTGTCCATGAACTCTTTTGCTCAAAGCTAGCACTCTACCACTTTGAGCCACAGCTGCACTTCTAGTTTTTGAATGGGTAATTGGAGGTAAGAGTGTCGTGGGGACTTTTCTGCCTGGACTGGCTTTGAACTGTGATCCTCAGACCTCAGCCTCCAGAAGAGCTAGGATTACAGGTGTGAGCCACCAGTGCCCATCTGATGTGGACTTATAATACCACTGAAACAGTATGGAGCTGTTGAGGGAATAATTAAGTAGCAGTAACATTTGCCTCTAAGGTAAACTGAGGAGTAAACTGTGGAGATGCCTGGCCGAGATTCTGAGGCTATCTTGAAGACACTCCAAGGCTGAATATGGAAAGCAAGTGGGGACAAGCATCAGGATGGGATCGACCACAGATGCAGAAAAATAAATGAGAATATTAATCTAAACCTCAGCCCAACTCCATCATACACAGACAGCCTATGGCACCCAACACAGTCTTGTGATATTTTAAATGCCTAGAACCACCTAGAAAAGTTTTTAACAATTAAATCACGTATCATCTCTGCGCAAATAAAAAAAAATTTCTAAAGAACCCAGGTTCTTTATATATAATACTAGCTACTCAGGAGGCTGAGATCTGAGGATCACTGCTTGAAGCCAGCCCAGGTAGGTAGGCCAGGAGACTTTTATCTCCACTTAATGATCTGAAGACCAGAAGTGAAGCTGTGGCTCAAAGTGATAGAGTGTGTTAGCCTTAAGCAAAGAGCCGGAGAGCAGCCAGGCCCGAGTCCAAGCCCCATGGAAAAATAATTTTTAAAAAATAAATAATAAAAACTTTAAAAAAATTTTCACTCTGAAAGGTTAAAATTGGTATTACAAATCTTAAAGGTAGACTGTGATTATGTCATCTTAAATTCCCTAGTTACCTCTTTTTTAGCTTTAAATGTGTCCTTCTTGCAGGCCGCAGTAGTCCTCCACTCAAAGTAATGCACACATTCTGTTGCAGTTACAAATTCAGGAGTGCCCTATTAAAACAAAGATGGTTAAAGTAAGTTACCACATCATACATCAAGTCTCTCTCTCAATTTAGAACACAACAAAGGCCAATGAAAGAAGAGCGGCAGGAAGAGCAGGGACACAACTACTTCACTCAGATGAGATCCAGAGGTTCCCAAACTGAGAAATTCAAAGGAAAAAAAGCATCCCCAAATCCACTGGCCCAAAGCCGTGAGCACATCCAGCAAAGCTACGCATCCAGCAAAGCTGTGTGACCGTCCAGCTGTGCAAGGGCGGTGTGCTCACAGGAAGCGATCCTGGGAATGGAGACTTCCATGTTCTCTGAACCAAATGCCAACAAAAGCAAAGCCAGCAAGCATGACCTCAGGCTTCCTGTGAGGAGGACTGGGAGGCCTTGTGCATCTGGAGTGGGGGCACTGGGCAGAGCCCACCCTCAGGGCAGCTCTCCAGTCACACTGCCTCAGGCTGAGGACACATAGTTTCCCTCAGGGCCAGCACAGAGTTAAGGGAAATTCAAGTGCAGCAGCAGCTGTCCTACCCTGTCACACAAATCCTCCTGCCCCAAGGCACCACACTCTTTCAAGCTCTCCATGGGTACAGGGTCAGACCAAGGCTAATCAAGACAGACATTACAGGACAAAAGATGCAAGGCTCACAGTACTACTTCTTAAGATAATATTGGCAAGAAGCCTGGTAGTCACCGGGTTTCACTCAACCTGACTCTTCTCAATACCTGGGTTCTCACTCCCATTCAAGCCAATCACAGCACTGGTATACTAACTAGTTCTTTTGCTCAGAAGTTGTGTATTCCAAGTTCCTTTCTAAAACCCTGCAAATCATGTAAGAAAGATAAGCACTGTGCTTCACCCAACTGTGTCTCTACTCAGCATCAGGTACTGAACCCCCTCCCTGCTGGCTAGGGCTTCTGACCCAATCAGGTCTCTCAGTTTCAATATAAATGAGAAGGGGAGAACTCTGCTTTAGAAAATTGAACATTACACCCTAAAACCATCAAGATGAAATACTAGGACTAGGTACATACTTCAAGTGGCAGGGCATTTGTCTAGCCAGCACAATCAAGACCCTGAGGTCAATCCCCAGGTTCCTCCCCCACCCCCAAATAAAAGAATGGAATGCTTGCTAGGGATAGAAGTATAAGGAAGAAAAGCAGTATGCCTGTGACATAAACAGAACCCAGGGCTTTGCGGTTCAAAATAGAATGGTTCTGAACTGTACTTCAAATTTCACTTTAAAGCTACAAGTTTAGGACTCCTTTATTTACGGGTCTTGGTGGTGATTTGACTGGAGACCTGGTTTCCTCATAGTCTAATACAGTCATGTGTTATTAAGCCTGGACTTACGGTGAGGAGGGCAGGCACTGTCACAAAGCAGCGCAGGACTCACCAGTGTCTTTCCACACAGGAAGGTGATGGTGCTCTGCACTTGGTGCCCCGGGCCTGCATGCTGGCAGGCTGTGGTCGTGTTGAACTCCAGGAGGGATCTGCTCGTGCTTTTCAAAAAAGAGTCTCCTATTTGAAGAGGAAAGAGAATCAACAGGCAGGACATAAAACCCACGTTTCTCTTCAGATATTCCAAGGCATAAACAACCAAGTTACAAGTGGTACTATGAGTTATAGCTGAAAGTTTATAATCCTATGAAACAGTCACAGTACCAGAATTCTCCATCTCAGGAAGTGACTCTACCCACCCTTAGCTGTTTGGGCAGAGTCATGACTTCATTATCTTCTCTTTTTCTGTCACACTCAGCACATCAGAACGTTTTGCTGCAGAGTCCCTCCAGTTCAGACCCGTCCACACTCGGCCATCTCTGCTACCACTCAAGACCCTCTCAGCTGCTGCCATAGCTGCACACTGGTGCCCAAGCCTCCACCGCCGCCTTTCTCACTACCACTCTTCCCACCCATCATGCAAACAGGATTTATCTCTGAAAATGTAAAGATAAATTAACTGCCCATAACCCTAGCTACTTAGAAGGATGAAAATTGAGTGTCACAATTCAAAGTCAGCCTCAGCAGGAAAGTGTGAAGTGAAGCTGTGGCCCAAGTGATACCGTGCCAGCCTTGACCAAAAAATAGATGGGACAGTGCCCGGTCCCAAGTTCAAGCTCCAGCAAGAGAGAGACAATGAGCTTTCTGCGCCTCACACAAGCAGAGGGACTGGGAGATCATGCAGCAGAAGCAGAAAAAGGCAAACAAGGAGAACCCTCCTCCTCCGCCAGTGCCCGGTGCACTGCCCGAGCCCCACAGGGCCCAGCACAGATGGATGGCGCTCCCTTTGCCCTCATCTGCTGCGGGTCCCTTGGCGCTTTCTCCCCGGGGATGGCGCTCTGGGCCGCGCCTGACCCCTTACGGAGTCACAGATAATGACCTCTGGGTCAACTGCAGCGGGGTTCACGGCCTGACCCCCCCCATCCCGCACAGCCCTCCCTCCGGCAAAAACGAAAGGCGCAGGGAAAGCCAGAAAAAAACCGTAGGCGTGGACTTGGGGGGTGAGGGGGCTGCACTGCGAGGCCGGGGCGGGGCCTGAGGGCAGGGGTGCCTGCAGGGTGCCTCAGGGAAGGGGGGTGGGAAGGGAGCACGCGGAGGAGTGCAGGAGGGAGGGGGAGGCGCAGGACGCAGCGAGCAGCAGTCAGAAATCGGCACTGCCGAGCGGAGCGGGTGGAAACCGAGGAAGTCAGCAAATCAGAGACGTCGAGGGGACTGGAAAATCGGGGGTTCGAGAGCAGTCGGAAGGGACCGGTGAGTCGGCCATCGGAGCCGCCCAGCAACCGGGATCGGCCATTGGAACCTCGCCGGCAACCGGGATCGGCCATCGAAGCTGCCCAGCAACCGGGATCGGCCATCGGAGCCACCCAGCAACCGGGATCGGCCATCGGAGCCGCCCAGCAACCGGGATCGGCCATTGGAACCTCGCCGGCAACCGCGATCGGCCATCGGAGCCGCCCAGCAACGGCAACCGCGATCGGCCATCGGAGCCGCCCAGCAACCGGGATCGGCCATTGGAACCTCGCCGGCAACCGCGATCGGCCATCGGAGCCGCCCAGCAACCGGGATCGGCCATTGGAACCTCGCCGGCAACCGGGATCGGCCATCGGAGCCGCCCAGCAACCGGGATCGGCCATTGGAACCTCGCCGGCAACCGCGATCGGCCATCGGAGCCGCCCAGCAACCGGGATCGGCCATTGGAACCTCACCGGCAACCGCGATCGGCCATCGGAGCCGCCCAGCAACCGGGATCGGCCATTGGAACCTCGCCGGCAACCGGGATCGGCCATCGAAGCTGCCCAGCAACCGGGATCGGCCATCGGAGCCACCCAGCAACCGGGATCGGCCATCGGAGCCGCCCAGCAACCGGGATCGGCCATTGGAACCTCGCCGGCAACCGCGATCGGCCATCGGAGCCGCCCAGCAACCGGGATCGGCCATCGAGCTGCCCGGCAACCGTGATCAGCCATTGGAACCTCGCCGGCAACCGGGATCCCGACCATCGGAGCTGCCCGGCAACCTCCGGGAGGCAACCGGATCGGCCATCCGAGCCGCCCGGTAACCGGGATCGGCCATCCGAGCTGCCCGGTAACCGGGATCGGCCATCCGAGCTGCCCGGCAACCGGGATCGGCCATCGGAACATTGCCTGCAACCAGGATCGGCCATCGGAGTTGCCTGGCAACCGGGGGACAGTGAGTCGGCAATGGAGGGGCAGGGCAATCGGGGGAGCCCAGAAGTCTGGTCAGAAGGCGGGCTGGAAGTCCGGAGAACGCAGAGCTGGGAAGCTGGATAGACTTTGGACCAGTCGGAGGAGCACCGGGCTAGGCCCGGTACACTTGGGGGGGGGGGGCCTCGTGGGAGGAGGCTGGCAGGGGGAGGCTCACGGGAGACGGTGGGCTGGGCCAGATCATGACCGCAGGCCACCACTTCCCACTCCAGGGACCCAGGGACCGCCTCGCAGGCCCAGAGGCCCCTCCCTCCTCTGGCCCTTGTGAGTGCTCCACAGGACATCCTGGAAAGGGAATCGCTCCAGGATAGAGACCTACTGCTCTGCCCCATCAATTGGATTTCCCTCCCTCCCCTTTAACGCAAAGCCTTGAACTCTCTCAGCTTGCTTATGCCACACCTCCAGTACTGCTTTTTGATGGTTGACTGAAGATGAAATCTCACGTTCTTTTCTGTGCAGGCTAGCTTTGAACTTCAATCCTTCAGAACTCGAGCTCCTAATTACCTAGCATTACAGGCATGAGCCACTAGTGGCCAGCATTTTGTGCATGCTTTGAAACTTCACATTGTTTGCTTTACTGGAAGTTCCTTACCCGCACACCTCCTTCCCACTCCTCTTTTAGCCCTACACCTGTGAGATGTGCTCCTAAGACCCTCGCAGTGCATCCTTGGTAAGTATGGAAGCCCCGAGGTGGTCTATCCACATTCAGAGCCATCATCCATACCTCCAGGGCTTTGTACATGCCAGCTGTCCCTCTAGGAGTCTTAACACCTGAGAAAGCTATCCATGGGTCAAAAGAAAGTACTTGAAGTCAAAAGAAGCCTGAATCCTGTGGTCTGTATCATCAACTTAACCTGTTACCAGCTCTCCTTCCTGGTTTTCAAAGCCTATAGAACTGTTATGGAGGCCAGTCTCACAAACTATTCCCTAATGAACTGCACACATCTGTGTCAATCTATGTTACGTTGTACTGTCACAAAGTACAACCACTCTCGCATTAGGCAAAAATATCACACACTTACCTTATTGCCTTTTCCCCTTTCTGAAAATGTGAAGAGCCCTGGCCAAGAGTCCTCTCAATCATCCAAAGATGAAAGAGAATGGTGGTATCACCCACAAGTTGTCTTAAGTACATCACCAAATAGTAAGCTTGCCCATCCAAAAGTTCAGAACAACCTGGTGCTTTCTCAGATCCCCATCCTTGGCCTCAAATCCTCTCCCTGGTTCTCAGCCTAGAGAGTCTTCACTGAGACAGAAGCAAATGAGAAGACTCGGATCCTAACCAGAGGATCCAGCATTTTCCACCTCCTACTTCTGTTACTGTGGTGTCTCCATGCAACAAGGTAGCTTTCCAAGCCATCCCTCCCAAACCCAGACACCTGCCAGCCGCCTCCTATGAACACCATCCTTTCTCCTCCACCCTGCTCCCAGACGCACGCTATCGCCACTTCTTCCTTCCACCATAACTAAACTTCATCACTCAACTGTCCCAGAGAAACGTCACCACAGGCACCATGCTGCACCACTCGGGGAACACTGGCCTTTACCCTCTCTCCATGTCACCATCTGTACCCCTCCAACCCACCAGTGGAAAGGGGTCCTGACCCAGGAGAAGTACATTTAGAAAAACTGCATGATCTGAGGTAAGAAACGGTTGCACTTTTGTCCCTAAGACTGCCAGCTGTCAGGACACTGAACCACCGTGGCATGCAAGGGCACACTGCCTGAGACATGCATCGCCACAGAAGCAAGCACTAAAAGAAACAGGTGAAGGAGGAGAAATGAAAGAGGGTAGAGCTTAAGAACCTTGTGGATGAGAAGCTAGAGGAAACAGCCATCACACAAATGATTCTTGACTCCTTCCTACATGCTACTCACTGGGCAGAAGTAACTTGTTTTTATCCCCCCACTAGACAAATGGTCACCACTTTTAACCATATAAAACATTTTTAACCATTATAAAACAAGTGATATTGCAAGCATATACAATTGTGTATATAGGTACATCCAAATAGCTAGATACATAAAGTCATTTTTCAAACCTAGATGCATACTGCCCATGTAGGAATCTTAACAGTTTTACTTACCGACTGAATAATACTTGCGTGTTTTCAAGTCGAACATACAAACAGCACTTGATGGCTCACATCCGACAATCTCCACATCTCCACAGAGCTTGATTTTATACACCCGGCTGTTCTGCGTATCAACAGCCTCCCACAGATAACTAGAAAGGAAGGGAAAACAACTGGTCACTGACTGTCACTGACTTGCCAATACTTAAACATCTCTCCGGTTTTACATTCAAGCCACATTGGCTTCAAGTACCACAAACTAGAAGACACACTCAGCCAAAAGTGCCAAAGTCAAGAATGGCAAGTTGAAAAGAAACCACTAAATCTAACCTCACTCCAGGAAATCTGCTCTGAAGGCCACCTTGGAACTTAAAGACCATGAGAATACTAAAAATTCTCCGTTAATTAGCTCAGGTAAGTAAATGATGTAACCCTACCATTCCCCCCAAGCTGCTGAAAACCCAAGGGATAAAACCCTTGCTTTATTATTTAAAAACTAGTTTGGGCACAGGTAAGGCAGTCCTGCTTCTGGTTTGACTTGTTCCGGCTACTCTTCAGACCTGAAATGACATGATAAGCTGTGTGGGCAGAGACCCAACTGTCTGACTCAGTATCAGACAAGCTCTGCTTTAGGCTGACTCACCACAGAATGAAACAAAAAATTTACGGTCTGGACAAACCTCCACAAGGTAGCCATCGACTAACTGCTAATGATGACTCAAACCGCACACTGGGACAAAGGGCTGGTTGGTTTGTTCTGCCCATGCAATTAGTGTCACTCCTCTATTCTTCCCTGAAATAATGTCTTTGTGTTTTTTAAGGGTAAAAAGCAAAAGAAGAGAGAGACTAAAAAGTCATGGAATAAAAAAAATTAATTCAAGAGACTGGTGAGAGGCGAGGAGACACTAGATCACAGAACTGCTTAGGGAGGCTGTCCTGCCCAGAGGCGGAGGTTGGGAGGGCCAGGCGTGAGACCCATCTCACACAACCCACTCATCGCCTCTGGAAGGACTTCTGATGATATGAAGTAATGGCTCACAGAAGTGAGCGGTGTCACTGGCATGCGAGGTGCCATGATGCCCCACGGCCCACCTGTCAGTCCCCCTTCCTGGAAGCCTAGCGCTGTAAGCACACATCAGCACTACGGCAGAAGCGCTACAAACCTCAACAACGGGTTCCTTGAAAGGCCCCAGACTTGCAAATGCTGACTGCTCAACTCAGATTCCTCATGGGTAACTGGCTAGTTAGCTACGGTACCAGGATTAAACATGAGAAAATAAATCAAGTACTGCCGGGCAGAAAAAGCCAGTGAAAGCTCATCCCCTGAGTCCTCCATTAATCTGTGTTCACTTGTTTCACACACTCTTCTTGTGTTGCCTGGTTTTTAGTTTTTGAGACAAGCTTGCTTCGTTGCCCAGGCTGGCCTTCAACTTTCAGTCCTACATCAGCCTCCGAGTGCCAGGATTACAGGTGTGTACTTCTGTACTTACTTGGGAAGGCAAAGAAGAATACACATGAACTACACAGACAAATCCCAGTGGGAAGGTCAGAAAATACACACACAGGACAATTCCCTTGCTATTTACACAGTTGAAGACAAACTGGCAGAATGTGGCAGGAAATGACTTCAGGGTTCTTTAGACTGGCAAGTCTTCTGAGCAAGACCAGACTGATAAAAATGAACAAGCCTGGGGGAGATACAGCAGAAGATCCTTCCAAGCAGACAGACTAGGGCAGCAGACTAGCTGTTGCAAGGTCCTGAGGTGGATGAACTTGGCACACTGGGAGAAACGGAAGAAGGGCAATGAGGCTACAGCCAGAAAGTCAAACAGACAGCAGCAGCTCGGAAGGCCACAGAGGCGAGGAGACCTAGTTACCCCAGATTTAAAAAGGCAGTTCTGATCTTATCCTTGAAACAAAAAAGGGGAGGGGGCCTCAACACAAACAATCTTTCCTTAAGCCACCATTTTTATTTAGGGTAGTAAAACTTTCCTATCATTAATTGTGATTACACAGAAATGTTAACCTCTCATTCAGGAGCCATGGCTACTTTTTCCAGGCTATTGGACAGCAAATTTAAAAACTTAGCCTGGCACCAAAGTACTGCCCAGTCCCAAGCACATGCTGGAGGAACATAAGAACACAAAGGTTCATTTAGAGTCATTGCCAGAATGATTCCTAAGAGTCTATGATTTTTCCAGAAACTCACAGCCGTTTTTGCATAGTGATATTTAAGGTAAATGTAAAGAGTGTTAGGGAGAAGAGAAATGAAAATAAGGGCCAGTGTCCCGGTTGTCTGGAATCAAGAGTTCCTAGACAGAAAAACCATCATCTTTCCTCTATTTGCATCTCCTACTGTGTGTCCAGCTTTATCAGGATGTACAGGATGAGAGAGCAAGGCAGATCCTATCAAAGCACTTGCATGCTGGCTTGGTGCAGGCTGAAGGCACCCAGCCCAGCACCCCTTAGGCCACTCAGAGGTCTGGGGCAGAGGCACTAGGAGCTCAGCACTCTGGTCACAGGACTTACAGCTTGTTCCTAAGCTGCACCTCCAAGGCGTCTGCAGATGACGACGGGTACTTGGGCACTGACTCCAGCGGCCCTGCATTACGGCCTCTCCAAAACAAGCAAGCACACCTGGCCTCTGGGGTCACAAGGACAGACTCTCAGTTGAAATAATCTCTCTGGAAACTAAGGCCATTATTTTAAAACCTATCATGTACTATGTAGGGAAAGGACATGGGTAAGATTCAACCAGCATGGAGATATGGCACCCCTAGGAGTAAATGGTTCTCTAAAACTATTTTACAGGCAGGAATGGGTGCCTCATGCCTCTATCCTACTTTACTCAGGAGGCTGAGATCTGAAGATGGTGGTTTGAAGTCAGCTGGGACACACAAATCTGAAAGAGACTTACTTCCAATTAACCAAGAGAAAGCCAGAAAAATGGAGATATGGCTCAAGTAGGAGAGCACCAGCTTTGAGCAAGAAAGCTAAAGGAAAGAACTCAGGCGAGTTCAAGCCCCAGTGCCACAAATACAAACACACACACACACACACACACACACACACACACACACACACACCACCTATTTTACACTAAACTTGAACTGGTAACACTTTTTAAGAAATTATATGTTTGACTATTACAGACTGCAGATGTCTCATTAAAGGCCAAACCACCAGAATGGCATGAGCTGAACTCATCTTCAAAATTAAATTAACACTTATGCTTAAAAGTACTATGATTATTAGCGAACTGAGAGTGTAGACATTAGAGGCTAAATAAAATGTAATGACATCTTTGAGGAATAATAAACTTTGGTCCAAAAGTATATTATAAAATCCTCTACCTGAAGTGAACATGTACAGGCAAAAATCAGAAAACTCTGTAACGGGTTGGAGTTCTGTGCCAAGCAAGGCCCCTCCGCAGAGTGCCCCAGAATATCTATCTTCTAGACTAAAGTATTTGGGGTCACACAGTGAAGACTTAGGGAAGAAAAGGAAGTCAACATATTAGACCAAAAAGAAAACTAAGCCACGGAATTAAAACTTCAACAAGAAACAAAGCTCTGGAAAACATCTGCAAGCTGTGTGGACACAGTCTTCCCTTGCTCCACACAACAATTTTAAATTCTTTTAAATTTGCTACAGGCAGCAACTTTCACAGCAGGAGGGGAAAGAAAACCCAGTGAGCATATTGTTGCAGCTCTAACCACCCATCTTTCTTCAGGTCCGTTTTCTGAAGGTCACTGGCTCACGCTGAATTCCATCTCATTGGAAGGGAAGCTAGGGACGAGGAGGCGGGACAACTGCAGAAGCCTTGGGACGCGTGGGGGCGGGGAGGGGGGTGCGCACGTGCAGGACCCCTGCCCAATGGGCCAGCCCTGCACACTTCCACTATTACCCCAGAAGGAGCCACCTAATCCCAGCTAGAATGGCAAGAACGCTGGTTTAGAAAACCAGCAAAAGCAAGGCAAATCCTCTACTTCCATTCTCAGTGTAGAATGTAGCTCCCTAATGCTCTTCCTTCTCATAAGGCCCAAATCCACATGACATAGCAAGCTGGACCCTTCCAGACACCATATACCAGTAACTCCACCGGACCATGAACTGGGCCTGCAGGACCCCCAGCTGCAAAAATCGTTCCGTGGTGCTGCACAAACCTTCAGGTACCAGCAGATTCCAACGTACCTATGTCCCAGACGCTGCCATCTACGGGGTTGTAACACCCGTCCCCTAGACACGACACAGAGGATTGTAGCATGGAGGTGGCCAGATCTCTGCTCTCTCCAATCAAGCCCTTGTAAGTCACTGTGAATCACTTCTCCCTACAGCACTCAAGGTCACTGTGGATGTGGGTCCCAGCACAACCTCTCCTTATGGATGGGCTGGGAATGAAGGAAACTGGACTAGTTGGTCTCCCTCGAGGCTCCCCAAGAAGTAAGCCCAGCAGGACATGTGCCAGTACTTGGCACTTTCTTCAACTACCCAAAGCCCCTTGGCTTCCCAGGCAAAAATCTGAAGGCTCAGAAAGGTTACAACCCTGCCAGGATCGTACAGCGGGGAAATGACAGAGCCAGGAGCAAATCCAGGTCAGCTTACGACAGGGAGCAAGCTTCACCACTAAGGGAAGTTGCCGCATTTGCTCTGCAGTTTTCACTTTTTTAAAAAAAGAATTGTTTTTTGGCCACACATCAGTGGCTCAGGTCTCTAATCCTAGCTACTCAGGAGGCTGAGATCTGAGGACTCGGTTCAAAGCCGCCCCAGCAGGAAAGTCTATGAGACTCTTATCACCAATTAATCACAAAAAAGGCTGAAGCTGGAACTGTGGCTCAAGTGGTAGAGCACTAGCAAAAGAAGTTCAGGGACAACAGCCAGGCCCTGAGTTCAAGCCTCAGGGCTGGCAAGAAAAAACTGCTCAGGAAATCTCTGGTTTTGTTTTGATAGGATTGGAGTTGGAATTCTAGACAACTGCGAGGCAGGCACTCTACCACCTGAACCACATCACCAGCCCTGTATCTTAGGTTTCCATTGTAACACTAAAACTGGCAAAACATGATACAAAACTTTAAAATTTAATTCTTGCTACAGTAAATGCCACTGAGGTAACAGACACAGTGTAAAATTTCTATTACTCTAGCCATCAAGTAAAGTAAGTTTGGCTCAGTAAAACACTAATTATGCAGAAAAATCATGGCTGTCCCTCTATGGGGACAGATGACAGCAGATATCCGAAGCACCTCCTTTTAAGCTTAACGTCACAGGTGACATGAGAGGCAGGCCTCTGGGGCGACAGGCCCATCTGGGAAGGACTGGGGCCAGACCATGTCTCCGCAGCTGGTCAGCAGCTCACATGCCCCTGGCCCAGTTCTGCTTTCTCTTCTGCACAGACACTCACTTCCCACACCAGGGGTGTCACGAGAATAGAAACACTGCTCAGCTGTTCCTCCCACGAGCCTTGTCGCACTAGTTCTGTCCAAGCTGCTGGTGGACTCCACTAAGAAGAGGCTCATGGACACTACTGTCCCAGCTAGCCGCCTGGCTTTAAATGAATGGCATAACCCGGCACAGTCCAACAGCAAATGACACCAGCAACAGCGGGAAAGGGGAGGGGCAAAAGTCACACTCATCACCAGTAACTTGACTTTGAAGTGAATTCTGCAGCCGAAATGTGTCCTGGACATGGACAGTGATCTTAACTGACGAGGCTAAGCACACAGCATGAGCCCTTTCCTCCTCCTAGGAAGCTGAATACCATCCTCACTGCTGCTGGGTGGTCCTGGACACTGAGGCCACCTGCTCCATCCATGGGGTGGCTGGGACGGCCCACTTTAACTCATTTGCTTTATAGCAGATATCTTAAGAGGTGCTGGCAAACCACCAATTAACACACTGGAAGACAACCAGAGGTGGGAAGGCAGTGGGGCCCGCCCATCCCAGAGAGGGAGGGGGGAGAAGAAGGGAGAGGAAAGGGAGGGGAAAGGTGGGGAAGGTGGGGAAGAAAGGGGAGGGAGGGAGGGCCACTGCCACCAAGTGAGTTCCACAGAACTGTCCAAAACAAGGAAACTTCAAAAAGAAGCCACAAAGACCTAGCTGTATGTATGTTTTTAAGCAACTTGACGGTGGTATGCATGTGACACCTCCAATACCCACAACTTTACAATGCCTTTCAAAACATAAGTTTGAAGTTTCAAAACAGCTGGCATTTCATGGCAACATAACAAAGAAATGCCCGTTTAACTAATATTAGCAAATGAATAACAGCTGGCATTGAAATAAAACATGCAAAACTGTATAAGGCCTGGCATGGTGGTGCAGGCCTGCGAGAATTTGAGTTTGAGGTCATTCTGAGCTATGTAGTGAAACTCTATGACAACGATGATAACAGTGAGGATGACAAAGATTTTGAATTCTACATTCAACATGCATATAATACTGTCCTGCCCACAAACATAAAACATCTCCATAGCTGTCATTTGGTTCCTGTTTCATTTTCTGTCACACAGAAATACTCTTGAGACAAATGCTGGTTCACCCACTGTGAATCTCCGGGTTACTGAGAGGGCCACGCAGGTAGCACACATTTTACTGCTGATGTACAATCATCAGCATATAAAACAGGTATGACCAGCTCAGTCATAAAATTAACAAGCAAGGATAATCTGCAATTTGATTTCCATTAAAAGAAGTAAAGCCAGTAATATACACACATGGTCCCAAGCCAGGAAGGAAGGTTTTTCTGAGTCGTAATGCTCAGAGACTAAGGGAATGTGAAGGTTCCCACTCTGCGCCCGCGGGGAACCCTCCAACTGTGCTGGAGACGACACCTGCCCCCTGCTTCCACTTCTCCAGCCAGCGCACTCACTCAAACTCTGGACCTGTCTCCTACTCTGAGGAAGAAGGGAGGCTCAGGGAAGGAGAAAAGCAGGAGACAGCGGGGTCCCCAGGGGGCCCGCAGCAGGATAGTAAGAACACAACATACACTGCTAGGACAGCTCCCAGCTGCTGATGCTGAGAGAGAAGAGATCTAGCCTGGCAGCATGACTCCATACCCTGACCTAAGACTGGGGACCACACGGGCTTGACACAGCAGGCCCAAGCTCATATAGGAAGTACTTCACTTCCTGTTCTAACAAACCCACAAAGCTGTGGATAAAGATATGAGGCGAGGAAAAAAAGATCAGAAAGAAAGGCATGACTCTTTCGTTTTCCCAGATAGTTACTCTGGAATTACAGAGTCTAGCAGCAAAAACCAGTGGAGCCAGGGCTCAGTCTAAAACGCTGAACTCAGCATCAGGACCTAAGGGACCACGACAGTCAAGCAAGGCTCCCTACACTTTTAGACCAGCATCGTGAGAGTCTCACTCCGGCGAGAGGGGTGGAACATTCCTCTGAAAGGGCCAAGGAGCAGGAAGAGCCCCCCGGCGCAGGCCTGGCTCTTGGCCCTCCACTGGTTGCAGGCACTTATGTCTCTCTGAGCTCCAACTGCCAGGTCTACAAACAGAGCTAAGGCAACGTTCCTACAGCAGAAACACTTGGGCCAGGAACACAGTGCTTGGAGAGAGCGATCATCTAAGGCTTTCGTCAAGATCAATAGAAGGATTCAGACTGTTTAAAATTGGGCTTTATAGAAAAGAGTGTGTTGGCTTGGGGTCTCTCAGAGGAGTATCACGTGACACTGACAAGGAACAGGAGAAGGGAGGGTAGGGAGTCAGGTATGCCCAGCCAGGTCCACCACAGAGCTGCACTTCCTGTCCAAGGTACAGCATGTGTGTACACATGTATGTATGTACGTACACACACACACACAAGGCCACTGCTGTGACTACTACCAGGAAAAAAAAAAAAACAGTTTAAAGGAGGAAAAGATGTGTTTTGGCTCACGGTTCCAGAGTTTCCGTCCACAGTCCCCTGGCTCCCTTGGTGTGAACCTCATGGCTCATGGCAGCCAGGAAGGAGAGAGCTGGGATGACACATAACCCCAAGAACACACCCCAGTTATCTACTCTCTCCAACCAGACAACTCTGCAAGTCTCTGTAACTTCCCAACACCACCATCTAATTATGAGAGGGCCTAATCAACTGATTAGGTTAGAGCTTTCATGATCCAATCACCTCTCCAAGAGTAGCTCCCCCAGCTGTAGGATCCATGAGCTTTCTGGGGGTACCTCACATTCCAATCATCGTACACAGACAGCTGCTCTTGGCTCCTCAGTGCAGGACAGGCCGGCCCAAGGTCTTCCCAGCCCTGTGTCATCTCGATACTCGCTGCTGCCACCACGACAGAGCAGGAGGACATCTTCCTAAAGAAACTTCATGGCCACATGCTGGCCAATGTCTTCAGAACAAAGAGCTCCTAAAACAGGGCTCCCACTCCGGCCCTGGGCTGCCCCTGATGCAGGCTGACTCAGATCTCCGCTCTACCATACAGGCCACGGGCCTGCTCCACGCAGATTTCTGGAAGCTGTGAGCAGCAGCGAGTGCGTGCTTTGTTCCTCCAGGCACACAGAAGGTGATAAGAAAAACTCACCTGCTGCTCCCCTGTGCGGATGCTGGAAATCAGCTGCCTGCGAAGTGCAGTCAGCGAGGCACAGAATTCAGAACTCGCCACTCAGCTTCCTACTCCACCCTGCCATGGAGGTCCCACGCCCGTCCTCCGGGCCCTGACACAGGCAGGCAGAGCAGAACTGCGCTAGAGACCACTCAACAGGGGAGTTGGCAACATTCATGAGTCGCTACAGCTTCACAAAAGCCAATTAGGAGGACACAGCACAAGTCCTTGCTCTGGAGAAGCTGGGGTCCTGCGCAGACTGGCACACAGGCTGGGAGAAGGGAAAGGCGCCCAGGCACACTCGCTGCTCGACATCCACGTCAGTTCTCACCCTGGTGCGTTCCTAAAAGGCACAACTGTACCCTAACCCAAGAGCCCAGAGGTACTACACCCTGCACTTGGCCTGCACACTGCAAACACACCCCTCAGTCCTCGCCACCTCTCAGGGTGCTGCCCTCCCCAACTTTTACAGACACAAAACCACCACCTATGGCCTTCACCTGGTTTCCTGTCAAGTATCCACACCAGCACAGCATGGTTGCTCAGAGCATAGGCCAGCTCACCTATAACCTGACAGCAGAACTGTCACCAACTACAGGAAAGGGAAAAGTAAAAAGCAACACCAGTTAAATTACAAATATCCATAAACCCACCAAAAATCCCCCAAAGGCTCCCAAAGGCAGCCTCTGGGACACCTCCTCCTTAGCCCCCTCTTCCCCTAATCCTTACCACCTCTCTCTCAGCTGCCCTGTACATCTCAGTCAGGCCCAGTCCCACCAGTTACCCACAGGCACCCTCTCTCCCTTCCTCCAGGCTCAGCTTAAATGTCATCTTACAGAAAGCAGGCTGGGGCTCCCTCTGGCCTTCTTCTGTCCCGTCCCCATCAGAGGATGCTAAGCTCCACGGAGCCATCAGCTCTGCTCTGGAAGGACAGGACGAGAGAAGCCAGGTCCTTCCCTTCACCACAGAAGTACGGGCAGAAGGGGAGCCCGGGGACCAGGAGGCTGACTCCCCGCATCACTTCTGTAGTCCTTCAGCTGTAGTGACTGTGTGTTCTACTTTCAGGCCTGAGCTTGGGGGGGGGGGGGAGACAGTTTTCCTGTGAGGTACTGAACAGCCATTTTCAGATACGCAACTGATGGCAGTAAATTAATGTTACACACGGTTTAGCCTGATGTGCAAAGCACTCCTGGGTGAGCCCGGCCTACCCAGCACGCACCCAGCACAGACTCTGCCTACAAAGCCCCCTTCAGTCTTCCCTCCAGGCCCCCCAGGGGCAAACCAAATGGCCAAGGCCACTGTTCACTGTCCACACAGTGTCCCTGATCCCCCGAAGCCCCACAATCTCAGCCTCCCCTGAATTCCCTGTCCTCTGTTAACTCAACAATGCACACACACACCTACACCATTGAAAAGGAAAAGGGAAAAAACTGCCAAAGGGCTCCTGCTGACCCGAGGGCCAAGCTTCCTGCCCACTGGAAGCAGAGGGCCAGGGTTTTCCCCACTGCCCCTCCACTCTGCCTCAGTGGTTAGCAGGAACCAAAATAGGACATGACACACGGCCTCCAACACCCCCAAAACCTCACGGGCAACAGCTGCTTCTCAGACGCAAGGCAGAGCTGCTGGAGTGGTTTCCTCTCACCCTTGGCCTGCGGCTCCTCCTGTTCCCACCTGCACCTGGAGCCCAGCGCACTCGCCCGCCTTCCCAGAAGCCTCCGGCTCCCACTGACATCCATGCCCAAGTCCGCCCAGACCTCAAGCTCCTCCCCGAGATGAACAAGAGCGCGGAGGACCGTACACCCCTCTCGATTTCAGCTTAGGACAAGGCCACCACAACTTGATGAAAAGGCCACGAGACCCACTCACAGCAGAGACAGCTGCCCTGGGCCGGCCAGCCACACACCTCCTCTCCTGCAGCCCCGGAAGCAGGGCAGAAGGTCATGTGACTCAGGACTCCCGATTCTAGTTATGAACACACTTGAGAAAACCACGCACGGTACACAGCTTCACACTATTAACACTCGAAACCCTGCTTCCTAGAAAGGGATCTCACTCCGCTTGCTGCTTGAAGCGCAGCCTCAGACGCTGCTGGCCAGGCAGCAGGATGCAGAGGGAGAGTGACCCTCACAGAAAGCCACACCACCACTTTTGGTCCCCACGGCCTGCCGGGCAGTGAGCCTCACTGGCATGCCCACACAGGCATGAGAACACAGCCAGCATCCTGCAGACACAGGAAAGAAAGACCTCACGGCTCCAAGGCCTGCCTGCGGAAGGAGGAGCTGCATTTCAAAACCAGGAGTGTGACTCCTGGCCAGGCGTGGTAACAAATACCTGTAATCTCAGCAGTCTGGAGGGGAAGAAGGAAAATTAAGGTGGAGGCCAGCCTGGGATTGCATACCCCAAAACAAAAACAACAAAAGTGACTCTCACCTGTCCCAAGGAGGAAAATGAGACCCAGAGGGAAGTGATTTGCCACAGTTAAATCACCCCAGCCTCCAATCTGGGCACAGGCAGAACACAAATACTCTGCCAACAGCTATCAACAGGGTCAACAGCTGCTCCTAGCAGGAAAAGCACTGGATGGACCAGGAGGATGAAAACGGACGAGAGGCTGCAAGAGCAGCCACAGGCATACCCTGCCCTTCCCCCGGCCTCCCCAGAACAATTGATAGCCAAGTCTCAGCCAGGCCCCTGCACAGCTGCACCAGACAACAAATGGCCCAAAGGAGACAGACTCTACAGCACTTTCAAGACTGCCCATCCCCCAAAGGCCTCACTCAACACCACAAACACCAGGATGACAAACTCAAGCCAAAGAAACCAGGCCCAAGGAAAAAGAACTAAGAATCAGTGCAGCTGGTCATGGTGGCACACTCCTGGAATCCCAGCACTTGGGAGGCTGAGGCAGGGGATAAAACGTGAAAGAGCAGCCTGGATTGCATAGGGAGACCTTACCCAACCATCCAAAAAAGGAATCTGCTTTAAAACACACTGGGAGAGATGAGGAAAGCCCTGAGTGCACATCAACCAGCAACACTGTTCGGGAGAGAGGTCAACACAGACAACCTTCCACATCAGACAAAGGCAGAGCCAGCTACAGAGGAGGAAAGCAGCAGAGGCATCAAGCAAAAAACCAGGAGTAAGTCAGGATAAAGAAAAGCTGAGCAGCAGAATTAGCAAGTCCAACACAAGCAGAGAACATTTTTTCCAAACACAAACAACACTTCTAACATGACTAGGTGATAGGCCACAAGGGAAATTCCACCTTTACTCATCACCGTGGAAAAAATAAAGACTCCCCCCAAAAGTCAAGTTCCTGCTAGAGTAGCCACTTAACATCACCACAGTGAACTGCATGAGGCAGTAAGCTTTGTAAAGATGTTGGCTTTGGCTCGCGATTCTGACAGCCTAGGTGAACGGTGGCGAAGGCAGCGAGCACAAACTCACATTCAAAGGCTAGGGAATGGGAGTGCATGTGGGTGTGTGCATGTTGGTATGTGAATGTGAGTGTGCGTGTGTATGCATGTATGTACATTTATGTGTGACTTTCCCAGAAAGTCACCAGTATTCAGTCCCAGGTGACCTTATCTAAGGACCTTATCTAATCCTAGCCACTTCCTAAAGGCCTCACCTCAGAACTCCAGAATGGATTACACCCAATCCCTTCCCTTCCCGTGGGTAAATTTCCTTACCAGTTGCCTTGGGATCACTCCTACCACACCCAAAAAATAGCGCCTGGATAAGAGAATTTAAATTATAGTGGGTTCCTCAAGTTTAAAAACAGGGCTTCTGGACCCAAAAAGAAAACAGAATTAAAGGGTGAAGAATGTTCAAACTTACAGGAATGTTATGGGTCTCAAGGAAAGAAACATTTTATGTAAAATGCTTTAAAAAACCAATGATTTATGCTTCTGATTTCAACCAGAAATAAGTGGGTAGAAGTGTGGCTCAAGTGGTAGAGCATCAACAGAATAACCAAGCAGGGCAAGCAGGAGGCCCTAAACTCAAACAGAGTCCCACTAAAGTTAAATAAAGACAAAAAAAAAAAAAAGCTAGCTTTTTGGAAAAGGTAAGCAAGTCTTTGGCAAATATAATTAAAGAAAAAAGTACACAAACATCAGGAACTTTTTTTTTTTGCCCACAGATATCTCTGAAAATGTAAAAGCATGGAATGCTACATATTTACATATAAATAAGTTAAATGGCAATCTTTTAGGAAACTGATTATCATTAGCTCAAGATAAAAGTAGAAACAAAGTAGATAAAATAGACAAAGTAGAAAAAACTGAAACCAGGCTGGGCATTGGTGGCGCATAAAAACAAAACAAAACAAAAAAAACCTAGATGGGTTATTTTCATGAAACAAACATTCCTGATAATGCAATCAGTCCAGAACACCACAGCAAAGAAAATTATAGCCCAATCTCACGTTTAAAACTCAGCTGCCGGGGTGGGGGTGGGGCTCAGCAGGGACAGTAAGTACCCAGCAGGCAAGAAGCTCACTGTTCAAACCGCTGACCATAGAACCAAACACAAAAGCTTCAACTTTTACGTGTGCAGAAGCAAACATTAAGAGACAATCTCTTGGACCTTGGAGCAAAATAGTGGTTCTTGAAAAAGATTTTGTACCCCAGACAATTTTCTTTGTGTGAACTGGGGGTGGAACATCTAATGGGTCCAGGCCAAGGTGCTGCCCGGAACCCTCCAGTACACAGGATAGCCCTTCAGCAAGCAACTACCTGGTCCAG